AAAGGTTGATCCATATCTGTCTTCATACTTTAAGTATTACAATGCCATTATCGAGCTTAACACCTTGACAAGAGTCAATTTTTTCTAAAAACCTGTGCATGCCATCTGCTCCTACATAACAATTGCGTCTTAATGCTCCACAAGTCATCCACTTATTGTTCAAGGCAAATGTCTTCTAACTCATTGATCTTTAGCATGGGGGCAATATCCATGAAAGTCAATTCGGCTTTTATCTCCATACTTATCATAGCCACTTCATTGGCTATCCATCTGTTCACTCATATCTCACCATCACATCGACTCTAGGGCATTCTGAACTAGGTTTCTTCCACGACCCTTACACCTTCTCTTAAGGTGTCTCCGCTTGTTGTCACGTGGCGGTTTGATCCTGGGCTCATCTCGTGGCCCTCACACCTTCTCTTTAAGGTGTCTTTACCTTTCACAAGCAGTCGCATCCTCCTTTAGCTGGGAAGCTTTAAAGTGGCTAAAAAAAAATTCTCTACCACTATATGGACTATGGGAGAGATCACTGCTGTTGATCACATAGAAAGAGAGAGTTGCAGTACACTCCTTGCAATCGTCCATCTTGATTTCTATGTTTGGAGCTTTTACACTTTTTTGCTTGATAGCTCCACCCACACCAACTCCCTTTGATGTCTTCGCCTTTCATTATAGGCGGTCGCACCCCCTTAATTAGGTGCATCTACAACAACTCATCTTTCCATCATTGCATGTATTGGAAAGGTCCTCGCCTGTTGCCTTCATAAAGAGCACAAGAAACTTTTTGTTGTACAACTTTCACACAGTCTCTACTCTGAGCTTCATCTAGGAACTCTTCTTCTCCTTGCACCTATTGTCTCATTACAGTGCCTTATTGGATCCTCTAGGTACTCCTACACAATCTCCATGTGCCCTTATGCAATTGTTGTTCTCCAGATTTCTTCCTATTCCTTGTTTATGTTTAACAACAACTCATCCTGTCACAACACCTGTCCAAGTCAAAATAGGGTATTAATCTTTATCCCCTTGCTATATTTCTTTTCCATTATCGGGGTCTTCATCAATTCTCTTATCAAGAAATTACAGTCACCGAATCTTTCTTTGGAGAAATCACCACTCCATCAAATCCTTGATTATACGGAACCCAACTGTTCCTTTGTGTCGTCATCCTGCTACACTTCAACAGTTTCATAATAAACTGTCACATATAAAAAAATAATACCATATGGATAATCCTTCCACTAAGCAAGTTCCCAGGAAAGATTGGAGGGGTCACAACGGTCTCGCTTAAAACCCAATATCTTAGCCATAACTTAGGCCATATCTATCCATCATACTGTGTTTTCATATATACAATCATTTGCTAGCTTTTTCACGACTTTCCTTTGCAAGTGATCTGGAATATTTTGGTTTCATACCTGATTTCTTAACAACTAGCGAGACTACCAGTGTTTAGATTTGTCAAGATTGGTCTTCATTAAATGTCACTCTCCATCTCAAATTATCCACATGATCAGGTGTCTAGAGTGTCCCAATTTTACCTTCTTTCAAGGCAATTAAAATTCTCCACATAACAGTTCAACACATGTAATTGGACAAACATATATGATTTCTTCATCTTCATCTCCATCGACCACCACAATGACCATCAGATGCCTCCTAGTCGAGCAATCTCTCTTTAATAATTCACCACCACTATTTCTGGTCTCAATCTCAATGATCGGACTGTACCATTTGCATCTAGAATGATCAAATTAGCTGGAAACAAGTCTGAAATTGTCCAAATCGCACTTCAAACGGCTAAGATTTGATCAAAAGAATTCTGGCCTGATCAGTGGTCCAGATTCGATCTCAAATCTAGTTGCTAGTAGAATCAACTACACTAGATCCTTTCCCTCGGCTCGGCTCAATTTACTATTAGTTTATTATTGATGACATGGCAAGTGGGTCCCACAATGTTAACGTGGCTGCTGACATGGCATGTCACCTGTGTATACTGACGACATTGTGACGCCATGATGATGTCGTCATCATCCGGATCTGGCATATGAGTTGGGTCATTTGGTATTTGGGTCGGGTTAACCCATCCAAGCGAAGAAGACGTGTGTGACGCGTGGCACGCGTGGCCAGCCACTTTGCCAGTGCAGGACGACGTGTGCAGCCATGTCTGATGTCTGATTTTGACGCGGTTTTCAACAATGGCTTTATCTCTTTCTCCTCTACACAGTGGTATGGTCAAAACATAATTTTGACAACTTTTATTTTTGAGCAAAATCAAACACCACTTTAAATCATGTGTTCTGATACCAATTGTTGGGGAATCTGACCGGTGATGTACTGATATTTTCTTATAGGAGGCCAAGTATACTAACACAATATTTAACGTGGTTCGGAAAATTGCCTACATCCACAAGAGAGTCGATATTATTAGAGATAGAGAAAGAATACAAAACAAATACATGGAGGAGAAGGATTACACCTACTCTCACCCAACTCCCAACTCATTGCTGCTCTTGGCAACTTTTTCTTTCTCTCTTTACTCTTAACACACTTTCTCATTTTGCTCACAAACAATGCCTCTATTTATAGGCAATTCATGGCAGATAAAAGGCCATAAATTATAGCACAAATTATGGCATTAATGATGGCAACACATGGGTTGCACCATTTTTATCAATGATGATGCAACTAACATTATAGTCTTTTGACAATGATAACCCTACTTCTTAGGATAGACTGCAAAAGTGTTACCAATTAATAGCAATAACCCAATAGACCCCTCCTGGAGAAATTAGCTGCTCGTGGTGCCGGAGCAGCTGGCCTTGTTTGAGTGTATCATTTTATGCATAAGCAACATAGTTTGGACTTAAGCAAGAGGCGATGAGGAGGATGAAGATCGCACAAGCCATTAGCAAAGTTTGTAACAGAAGGGATTTGTAATGTGTCGATTCTGTGTAGAGTACATCTTCCTGGACGTTCTTATAAGCAAAAGTTCTTGAAGCAGGAAAGACTTGTTGGGTAATGTCTTTGTTTTTTTTCTTTGAATCCCTGAGGAGATAAATCAGATGTGTGTAAGTTCATGGGCGGTGGACCTCACCCTTCTACAACTGATTTTTCTTGCATCATTAAATAATTTCTACTAAAAAGGACTGAAGAATTTTATTCATTTGAATCTTCTTCATCTAAAATATGAGACAGGCAAGTGACTGGCAATTCGATTATAGAAGGCAGTCAGAAGGAGGACATAAAGGAATGCTATCAATAAATTAGTATAAGAGCTTATTTATTCCTAGTTTTTTTTTTTTTAATATGAGTGTTTGATCATATATTTCAACTAATCCCATAAATCATAAAATTAATAATTATATAAGTTTTATGTGATTCCGATATTTATAGAACTTGAATTAGTGATTTCTAAAGAATAAATATAAAATCTAATTAATTGAGCTCTACCTTTTAAGATTTCATACTTAGCTTTATTATTTATGATATGATATCATGTGATGAATAATATTTTTTAATTTAAAATATATTAAAATAATTTTTAATTTTATATTTTTAATAAGAAATAAATAAAAATAAATTATTAAACTCTATTTATAATTAATATAATATTAAATAATAAAATTTTAAAATAAATTATTTTTTAAAAATAATTCATTTAACTTGAGTTGATGTATTAAATATTATTGTATAATTGTGAAAATAAAAATCTCAGCTCATTACTATTGTTATTATTATTTTTGTTTATGCCATTGATTTACGAAAAAAACTGTTTTTATGTTGCAGGATGTTAGCAATATTCGACAAGTTCCAGACCATCAAGAAGTATTCGCGGAACCAAGTCGAGATGAAAGCTTGGTTTTCGAGCTACTAGATTTGAAGCCTGATATCAACGACAATGGAAGCGCCGTTTGGTTTCTTCAAGACCTCGCGAATGAGCAAGACGCTCAAGGGTTTACTCTGGTTGACCATTCAGCGGTGGTTGAGGTTCCCATTGGGGATTCTTCAGCTCTTGTTACAACAGCGATTGGGCAGATGGGGATTTCCAAAGGACGACAAGGAAGGGAAGCCCAGAATGTTGTGCGGGTTTATCTGGCCAATCTTAGACTTAAGAATGCTGGGACTGATGTTCTCGTTGTGGCTAATGAGCCCATTTTGATTAGCCCTTTGAGTGAAAGTGCTTCCGCTGTTGGCCCCGGGTTACTTCCTGCCGCGCAGTCTGGGTTCTTGCCCATGTCTGAGGTTTTTAAGGTCGCTGTTTCTAGTTTCAAAGTCAATGACTGGTCCCTATTTGGTGGTTCTGGTAATTGACGCATAGGGAAGATATAGTTTTGGTACATCTTTCAATATTTGGTTATTTGGACTAGTTTAGTAGCTTTCTAAGTAACTTCAATTTGATGAGATTAAATCAAATGCTAGTGTGTAAATTATTATGTGCAAAGTTTTCTGAAGTAACCCTAAAGTCATTGCGAATGATACCCACGTCTCTCTTGTATTCACTCCAGAGTCCAGTCAGGGGAAGGCCAAAGTCTGTTTGAAGTTATGAAACTGGCCTTTTTGATCGATGCTTTTAGTACACTATTTTGGGCCACTTGTTCTTTTTTCATGCCTTGATACCTCCTGCTCCAAAATGGGTTTTTAATAGCAGTTTTGTTTTCTGAACACAAGATAAAACAATGTTAGCTGCATAATGGCATAGAGACGGCAATGTTGATTTATGATTCTGTTTTGTGACATGACCGCATCAGATTTCATGAATATAATGCATTTGGTTTTGTTTTATTCCCTGCTCATCCAACATATACGTTGATCTGTGGAGTACTTCCTCTGTTGTATGTCCATTGGGTCTATGAAAAATGAACTGAATGATGCATAGAGCAGAAAACGAAAGAAGGCCACAGCTCATGCACCAACACCCTTATCCCCAGTGCATAAAATGATTTTGCTTAGATTGTTTTAGATTTTGCATATTTGAATTTAGGAATTGGTTTAAATGCTGCAGTTGTGTTTTTCTCTCTTTGATGAACTTGCTCCAGATAATACTGTTTGATGCATGCAAGTTGTAAGCCGGTGATATTGATTCCCGTTGTCCTCTCCTGCCAAGTTGTGTCGTATGATCTTACTTGTTTCTGAGACTTATGGAACAAGCATGTATTGCAGTTTATGCGATAGATATGCTGGAGATTCTGCTATAGCTGCAGTGACTTTTGAATATTATACCTGCACCATTTCGAAACAGCCTGTAAAGTATCAAAGCATCAAACCATTCATGTATGAAGTACAATGTTCCTGTTGCTCATCTGAGGCGGATTATTCCCGATGGACCATAACATGCTCGATGGCATATATAGTTACGATTGTGCTGGTGGGGCATTATCAAGTTTTTTCTTCTGGATATTTACAAACAATTGGTTATTTCTCTTGGCCACCCACGGGTAGTTTCTTACCGTGTAGGGCTAGTTATACCATTTGCTCCAAAAGTTAAGAATCAAGGACAAGACTTAAGATAGAACTTGGATTTTTTTTGAAAAATGACATGGTTTGCATAAAATTTCAGAGAATGATACTGTTTGAAAAGTATTAGGAGAATGAGATAGTTTAACATGATTGTTATTCTGAATCACAATTTTAAATAAAATTACCATTTTGAATCATGGTTTTAATCATCATGAATCTTCAAAGTCTAGATTTGATGTATGGTATAATGTATCATTGTCGTCGAAGATATAAATAGATTCAAATGTATTATTATGTTGTGTTATTTTTTTAATTACGAGTTTTTCTTATTATTATTACTTTAATTATGATTTTAAGTCATTAATTTACAAGTGAATATATGGGTATTATGTACAATTGTTTAAAATTTCAAATATGCCATTTACATGTAAAAAAATACACATTGTTATGTTTCATTATTTTTATTATTAATTATCTTTATAATTAACAAATAAAAATAATACTTAAAAATAACATGCATTAATTTAAAATTATAATTAACAAAAAAAATTAAAATATCACACTCTAAATTTGTTTTATGTTAAATATGAGGTTGAGTTTAGGGTAAAATCATATTATATGTATTACAACACCAAAGTTGCCAGCCTCTGTTTCAAAACTGAAGTTTCTACCTTTCTCCCCTCTCTGTTTTCGCATCACAAACAGAAGCCAGATTCCTGCTTTTTCATCGATGGAATCACGAGCAACGTCCTGACAGGAAAATCGTCAATGAAACACGTGCGAGATGGGCTGCACACCTGGCAATTAACAAGACACTTGGCAGACCCTCCTCTTCAATCACTGTCCTCTTCTGTTCTACCTGGCACCTGGCTTGCTTGATAGTCTGTAAAAATCCTTTCATTGCAAGCTGCTCTCCATCGAGTGAAACGGTTCCCTCTTTGGTTGTTTATGTCTCTTTTTGGACAAGAACAGGTATCCAATACCTTGTGGCAGTGGCAGAGGATGGCAACCAAGAAGGAAAAGCTCAACCACAACAGCCAGTCGAAGAATATGCCATGCACCCACTTCCACAATACATCAACCCTGACTACAAGCCCTCTAACTAGCTTCAAGCTCACAATTGTTCTGCACTTCAGTTTTTCTGTTTGCTTATCGTTTTCCAATCGGAACAGTAGATGAAAGACCTACTATATATTCAACTTCGTGGCAGGGAAAGGCTGCTCTGTTTGCTATCATTTTGCACTAGAGGGGCCTTTACATATGTTGAAGGCATAGAGGATAGAGATAAGGTTGACTCCCTGAAGCTGATACTTGGGGCAATACCTTCAGACGTTAGCATCGAAGATAATTGCAAGGGTGTTGTTGATCATGTAGCGCGCGAATATGGGTGGATAGATATTCTGGTGAACAATGCAGCTGTACAACATTATATTACAACACTGGTAGAGGTCACCGAGGCTTGGCTTGAGAGGATGTTTAGAACCAACATCTTTGGTTACTTCTTCCTGACCAAGTAAGAGAGAAAAACTGCGGAAACAATTTGCCTATTGCTTTGATCTTTTTGTTTCTAATTGGTATAAAGGCATTGTTTGAAGCATATGAAAGCAGGAAGTTGTGTTATCAACACAACATCTCTTGCTGCCTATGGAGGAAGTGCAGAGTTGCTGGACTACAGTTCAACTGAGGGTGCCACTGTATCTTCTATGCTTATTTATTTGTTTGTTTGTTTCTAAGGTTATTTATAGATTGTGGATCTTGTTTACATTGCAGGTGATGTTATTGCGTCAATGCTTGATATTGCTTGCTGCTCTTTTGGCTCGCCATGGAAGTATGGTTTATTGCAGAGATGACTGGTGAATTGCGCTTGGCAAATTACTAGGAATGAGGTTGTAAATTAGATTTTCCCTTCTGTTTACAAATCTAACGAATTTGCACAAAACTAAAATAAATACTAATCTAGAGGTCGGTTTGCTTTGATCTTTCGTGTATTTTCAAATGATCCTTCTTCTGTCTTCTTGCCATCTTTCTTCTATTTTCGAGTGAGAATTATTAGTTGCATGGTAAAATCTTTTTTTATCCAGTTTGAAATCTTTGAATCTCTACAATCACATAAAGATGGTAGTACTGTTTCATCCAATTGTCTCATGTTTTTATATAATTTAATCTTTATTGTTATATCTATGTATTTTTTATTTTTTAATATTGAACAACGGTTTTTGAATAGGTCCTCTTTTTACTCTTTATTTGGGAGTGCGGTAGACATAGATTGGTTAAAATTTAATTTTTATTGTTTAAAATTTTTATATATTTTTTTTATTGTTTTAATTTATTTATTTTAAAAATAAAAAAAATATATTATTTTAATTTATTTATGAGTAAAATACACTTTGAAAAACAACCAACACTAAACAACTCTTTAAAAAAAATGAGAGCTTAATAACAAAGGTGAAAGATTAATCATAACTATAGATACAATGAAATCTTTAATGATATAGAGTAAACAAAATCAATATTGATGGATCAACCTTGTGTGCTTGAAAGGCCATGAATAGAAGGATTGGAGATAAAGTGGAGACTTTACACACCTAAGCTTAGCTACGTGCTGTGTCCAAACGTCTGTAGGTTTCATAAAATATTAGACCCAATTCTATTAGATTTGATTATGTGCTTAGCCTAAACTCTTGTGAGTTACGGGAGATACCAAACTCAACTCCATTAGGCTCGATGGCATATTGAGTTCAAGCATTTGTGAGTCTAACAAGATATCAAACCTAACTTTATAGGGCTTAGCAACACACCGAGCCTAAGCATTTATGAGTCTAATAAGATGATGGACTCAACTCAATTGGGCTCGACTACATGTTGAGCTCAAGTGCCTATAAGTTTTATGAGATATCATATTGAACTTATTGGGTCCAGTTATATGTTAAGCTCAAACACTTATAAGACTAATAAGATGTCAAAACCAACACTATTAGGCTTAACTAAGTGCTTAGCCTAAATGCTTGTGGGTTTGATAAGATGTCACACTAACTCTCTTAAGCTTAACTATGTGTTAAGCTTAAATATATATGCACCCGAAAGGTGTCAAGACTGAACATCCTTGGGTTTAGAATCATTTAAAATTCAAAGATATAATCAATGATCTTTATTGACTTCATATGAGGGTCGTAAGGCTATTCTTAAAACTCTTAACCCGAGATGTTAAAAACTTAAGGTAATGATTTTCCTATATCCCTAGGTGTATAAAAGTTCTTTAAGATTCAAATATATTTAAATCAACATAAATGTTACGAAATTATTATTTTCATTAATATTAATATTGTGTTGAAATATGGTCTAAAAAGTATTTTATAGCTCTTGTATTTATTTGTTAGAACTAATGATGTAAACATGTAATTCTCATTAATATTAATATAGTGTAAGAGATATTTTCATTAGTATTAATGTTAATTTAAAAAAAAAATTTCTTATTAAGATGTTCAAGAGAAAAAGACTTTTGACCATTTGAAAAAAAGAACATGGTTTTTAATACAAAAGCTATAAATACCCTTCAATCTACCTAGGTAAATTATTCATAATCTTTATTCTTAAAACATTTATCACAAAAGACTAAGAACAAACATTTTAGCATTTAGAGTTAAATGTTTATTTCTTCATTTATTACAATCACTTGTTATAAAGCCATTGACGTAATTATTAAAGGGTTCCAAAACTTTATAAAATGATTGTTTCACAAGAGTTGAGACCTCAACCACCAATCCTCTACTCTTCTAGTTCCTAACAATGAAATATTGATATGAATGTATGATCATCATCTACTATCTAAACACTATAATCCTATTTCTTATCATATTATATTTTCAAATATCATCAAATATTTATGATAAAAGAATTGATCTAAAGTATGGAAAGATAAGAAGATATTACATTGTCATAACTTTATCTTATCTAAGGCCAATTGATTGGCTCGCACTCTCTTATGTGTTGTCGAATGATTTTCTC